CGTGTTGGAATACACCCAACAACAACAACAACAGCAACAACAACAACAGCAGCAACAAAAACAACATGAGAATTATGCCAGCCAAGCCTGGCTGACCCTCGCTGTCCCCATTTGACGCCAGCTCTTGGATTGGGTGTTTGTGTGCGCGCGGTCAGCTTGGCTTAGTGCGGAGCACAAGTAATTCATAGCATTAATTATATTATACGACCCACAGCTGGACGAGCCGGCGCTGTGTGGAGGGCAGCAACGGCTACTGCGGCTAGTCCTGGCATCTGCCTCTTGAGCTGCAAGCTCAACTTGTGCTCGGCGCGCCTCTGCCCGATTGGACATATAAATAACGTTTGCTCACTTTTCGGCAACAGGCAGGAGTTTATTGCTTCATGCCTTAAATGGGCAAATATCTCTGAACTGTATATATCGAACCTGTCTGGAATATGCATATTCTAGATTAGAAAAGAAAACGACGCGAGTCTTCAAGATGATATATATTATATAAGATTGAAAATTGCATTCACATTAGCTGTAATCCATCAAATTAACATGAGCCTTAACATTAACATGGGGATTATTCTAGTAGATGTGGAAATATTTATATTTAATTATTTTAATTTAGACAATTTTTAATTGAAAATAGTATAAGCAGTGTATATTTCTTATGTACATATATATTTAATATATAATTTCACTGTATGTGTGCAGGTCGTCGAAATCTGGACCGATTTTGATACTGGTTGGCTTAGATTCACAATTGGATCCGGTAAGTGATACTGCAAACAAATTATTACGAAATTCATTATTTTGATTTTCTTTAAACCCTTGCAGAGGGTATTATAATTATGTCATTGAATGTGTAACGCATAGAAGGAGACATCTCCGACATCAGAAAGTGTATATATTCTAGACCAGCATCAACAGCCAAGTTGATATAGCCATGTCCTTCTGTCAGTCTGTCCCTCTGTCCGTCTGTTTGTTTCTATGTTAACTCGTTTCTCTTTTTTAAAGCTATCGTCTCAAAGCTTAGCATGGGTCCACCTTTCTGTTGCAGACAGGATCGGACCACTATATCATATAGCTGCCATAAAAACGATATGTCGAAAAGTAGGTTCTTGTATTGAAAACTTATTTGTTTATCAAGTTTTCTTGACCAAACTTAACATTTATTAGTTTCCCTATGCTCGTCATACATATGCAAAATCCTATAATTGGGCCACTATATCTTCATAGGAAAGATCGGTCGAAAAGTAGGTTCTCATATGGCAAAATATTCTCTCTTCTTACATATATCTCGCATTTCAGAATATTTATGTATCACAGAATTTTTCAAAATGGAATAGTTAAGTGACATGGGTATGTAACTATGTAGGGAATATTACAATCCAAATATCCCTTGTTTACAAATATACCCTATATTATAGATTATGCACAAGGCATGTATAATCCTATGCTCAGCTTAGTTAATTTCGTCTAAGACTGTCCGTATTTCTAGCTATATATTTATTTTTAAAGCTAAATCTTCAGCTCAAGTTGGGTTGGCATATTTGTGACGAAGTCTATATTATAATTATGTCTCGATCTCTCGATTGTCTATAGTAGAGCCTACAAATCGAACCTATAAAGCGTTGCATTGGCACAAACCGTGAACCGAACCATCAAACATTTTTGTTTCAGCCCTGGCACTGATATTTGCTAGTTCAAGTTTATTTTGATTTTGAATAATTTTTAATATTTATAATAAATTAAAAAACAAAATTTCTCTAAATATTTTACATAACAATTTACAAATTGATTTATGCGCCAAAAGCAAAGTAAATTGCAACAAAAATAATAATTAATAAATGAATTTGACCAGAAGCCGGCAAACATGGGCAAAAGTTGTTGTTGTTGTTGTTGTTGTTGTTGTAATTGTTATTGTATTGTGACAATGCGCAGATAAAAGTAATTAACGCCTATTTGGGGCCAAATACACAGTACAGTAGACTACGGTGGAGGGGCAGGGGCAGGGGCAGGGGCAGGGTCTGCTTCGGCTCTGGTCAATAATAGCTGCAATAAAATGTGGCAACAACAACGGCAACAACGTTTGGCCGTGCAATAATTATTGACTTATTGGCCACAATGGCATTTAAGAGTCCGATGGCACCGAAAAATATTTGCATAAAATTTGCATTGACAACAGTTGAAAGCAATTGAAACAATAATTTCGTCATTAATGTGCGACAATCCGCCCAAACCGGCCACAAATCGCGGCAATGCAGCACCAAACTGCCCAACAATGTGCCAGCAATCCCCTTCCAACCCCCCCCCCCCCCCCCCCCCCGTACCCCATCCACCATCCGGCTGCTGTCCACCTGCAAATGCGAATTGAAAACGTGCTTATCGGCGCGCATCAGCAGGGTGGCCTGAACCTGGAGACCCGGTCCTGAACTCGTGGACCACCAGCAGCAGCAGCAGCAGCAGCAGCAGGACTCTTGGCCCGCTGGCCGAGTTGCATTTTAACGCCATTACTGCCACATTGCAATTGTTTAATGCGTTTAATTACATTTGTTGGCTGGCACTTAATGTTTTTATAATTAATAGAATCAATATTGATATTGGAACAGGGTCTGCTGCCCGGGCCCCGCCAGCCCCGCCAGCCCCGCCAGCCCCACCATCGCAGCTGGACCAAACAGTTGTGGTTAATTGTAGATTAAAAATGTAGCAATGCGGTTGCATTCAATGCGTTGCCCGCTTCGTCATGCAGGCGTTAATTTTCTGGTCAAACTATAGCTTCCAATGAAAATACATATACGAAAAAAACAAAACAAGTTTAAATAAAAAAAATATTGAAAAAAAAGTACAGTAAAACGCGTTTAAGTGCAATAAAATCAGCTGAATTTTATTGTAAAGACATATTTTACATATTTGTACACAGAAATTCAACAATTATTAAAAGTGCGCTTATTATCGTTTTATGCATGTAAAAGTTAATTAATAATTACGCGGAATTCTTAGTACTTTAAAACAAGAAAATTTATTAAAAATGGAAATAGAATATTCCGTGTATTAAATAAATTTAAAATATAAATAAACAATAAGTTTAGTTAAAAATATGTTTCATTAAAATTTAAATTGGTCAAATAAACAATACTAGCTAAAATCTAAATTTTAACAAAACAATACTAACTAAAATCTGTCTCAAAATTATAAACAATTTTCCTACTTAAAATCTAAATTTTAAATATAAAAGACAATTCAAATTTCAGTCTAAAATTTCATATAAAACAATGCTAATGAAAATGTAAATTGAAGTTAAAAATAAAATAATAACTAAAATTTCAAATGTCATAAAAACAATGGTAATCAAAATCTAAAATGTATTTATATAGAACAATGCTATTTAAGATCTTAATTGTATATACAAAATATGTAAAATACAATTCTTTTATAATTATATTCAAGAATATTATATGTACAATATAACAGTAGCTTTTATCATACCAATAGCTAAACATTATAAAGCTTACAGAAGTTCTATGTATTTGATACTTGGTATTTTGTATTTTAGTCAAAACGTGGCAATTTAAAAACAAAAAAAAGAGCAAATGTTGCGTCTGAAATCAAGCTGATTAAAATGCACTTTTTATTTGCATTTAAATTGTTTACCTGCAAACAATTTTTATTTGTCTTTGTGCGACGCATTTAATTACAATTTGAAAAAAAAAGCGCGCACCACACATGGAAGGGGAGGGGAAGGGGAGAGTTGAGCGCAAGCATGCATGCAAAATGCAGACTGGCACCGCGCCCCACCGCACATCCCCTCGAAGTCAAGTAATGTCCCTTCAAAAAAAAAAAAAAAGCGGGTAGCGCTTTAAAATGCAAGCAGCGTAAAAGATTAGCCCGATTATTTCAGCTTGAAGGCGTTTAACTTTGCGCATTGCAACGCACACGCTGCGAGTTCAAAGGGTTTACAAATGCTACGCCACCCCGCACCCCGCACCACACAACCACCACCCCACCGCAACCACACAGCCCACAATGCAGAAGCCACAGCCCAAGGCACTTGAGTTTGATGTAGCGCAGATCTGGCTCTGGGCGCTTGGCCCAAAGCCAGAAATTGCCCGGCCTTTTGGCTACGCTTTTCGTTACACGTAAAATGTTGAAAATGTAAACTTAATGCAGCGATTTGAAATTTACACATCGTTATATGAATATGAAATGATATCATATAGGATACACGGCATACCCTACAGAGAGCAGCATTTGCGAGCTCGAGGGTTGCTGCTGCACTTATCTCTGGTGGTTAGTTCTTTGCTGGCCATAAAATAAAAGATAAACGATACATCTTTTTTTTTTTGGGGTTTCCTTTTCATTTTTTTTTAATGTACGTGTTTGTGTGTGTGTGTGTGTGGGTGAGTGGATGTGGATGTGGTGTGTGTGCGTGGGTGAGCGGGTGTGTGCTTTACAGGTTTATTGTGGAGGCCAAATATTAGCTAATGGTCATAAATAGTTTAATTACAGTTGTATTGTGTATGGCATAAGTTGATATTTCATTTCTTGCTACTGTAGATTGATGCTGATTGACACAAATTGATGAATGAATGAATGGATGGATGGATGGATGGATGTGTGCTAGTGTGTGTGTGTGTGTGTGTGTGTGTGTTGAGTTTCCTGTTACAATCTCAAAATGCAACAAGAGAGCTCTTGCTTTAATGTTTGCTTGCAAACAATATATACATGTATGTATGAAGCATTTACGCATGCCATAAAAAATTGGTTTGAAATTTAGCTTGATAATGATTGAAGACACGCGACAGTGATATGATATGTATGTGGAAAGTAACAGTAATTGAACAATTAGTTTGAAAGTATTTCTGATAAGATTCGTGTTAATTGTTGTATTCGCAGCTGATTGATCGGTTCGAGTAGTCGTCCTGCTGTAACTGATAATTGATGACGATTGATATGGATTGATGGCGAAGCATTTCGAAACGAATATTATTATTATTATAAATGGCAGTATGTGCATGTGTTTGTTTGTTTGTTTTTTTTTTTTTTGTTTTTTTCTCTCATATTGTTTAATTTTCCTCTGGCTGTTGTGCAGCAGATGTGAGCTTGTTGATTGATTCACACTCATTAGCTGTAAGTTCTTGATTGATGTTACTCTCCTTGCAGTGATCGGCAGTATTAAAGACTTCGTTGCTGCTGCACTCATTGATATTGCCATCATTGGTGACCAACAGCTCGTTGTTGGCCATATAAACATTGGGATTTAGCATCGGATTGATATCCTCAAGTGGGATCGCCATTATGGTAGCGTTAGCTGGGGGAAAGTTCTCGTTCATGTTTATGCCATCGTGCATGTCCATCGGGGTGTAAGGCTCATTTGGATTCTTATAGGTGGAATACGGTAATATCATAGCCGTGTTCATCATGGCCACATCTGGCATTAGCTGACAGAAATTGCCGGCCACATCGGTGGACATGACATGAACATTGGACATTGGATTGCCCATTGGATTGCCAAACATATTCATGTTCATGTTCATGTTCATATTAATGTTGGGCAGAAACTGAGCATAGTTCGTATTCGGACTGTAATTGTCATTCATGTCAAAGATCATCGGAGGCATATCTCCCTGGCCGTTGCCCTGCGCCATTATAAAGTGCATCATCGGCATTGTGGGCATCACCGGGCCCGTGGGCTGTAGGAATATGTTGTTAACCTGCTTCATAACCACCCGATTGGCCGTTGTCGCATCTGCGTTGCCATTCTCATCGGTTGGCGGGGACTGAGCTATCGGATCACGGCGCGGATTCTCGATAATTGGAACCTCGCTCGTCCTATCTGCATGTGGCACTCGCAGATCCGTTGTGGTGCCCGCTGCGTGTTCCACATTTCTGGTTTCTGCGTTCGCCGTGATACCGGCGGCGTTATCGACATTGTTGTTATCGTTGTCGTTGTCGTTATCGTTGTCATCGTAGTCGTCGGCCTCGCTGTCGTTGTTGCTTATTATCGACGAGCTGTGACTGGAGGATCGTGGACTCAGTGAGCTGGACTGGCTGCCGGAAGAGGTGCTGGGCAGGCAGCGGCGCGACTGCTGCTCGGCATGGAGCATGGGCGAGCTCGACTGACTGTCGGACGAGCTGTCAGACTGTTGCTGCTGATGCTGATGCTGTTGCAGCCGTTGCTGCTGCTGCTGCTGCTGATGGAGTTGTTGCTGAAGCGGCGACTGATGCGATGAGTGTTGCTGGAGCGCATTTTGCATTTGCATCTGGCGTTGCAAGCCGGACGAGTTGGCGCGGAGCAGGGATATGTTGTTCAATGACGCCTGTGCTGCTGCTGCTGCTGTTGCTGGCTGCGACTGCTGCTGCTGCTGCGGCGGCTGCTGCTGCGGCTGTTCCATATACTGATTGGAGCTCCTGTCCGTGCTGGCATTGTCCTCGCTCTGGTGGCCGCCCGGCGGCTGCATGGCCGCGCCGTACATGCCCATGTTCCGCGAACGCCCATTGCCGGCGGGGCCAAAGCGACAGGGCACGCTGTAGGTATTGATCCGATAGCCATAACGCGAGCCATGCGGGCGTGGCATCTGGTGGGCATGCGGATACGGATGCGGATGCATGGGCACTGTCAATTCAAAGAGAGAGAGAGAAAGAAAGAAAGCGTCATCAGGCGACAACTAATTTTCGGGCGGGCAACAACTCACCTATGGGTCTGCCCCAGAAACTCAGAGGCGCTGTGCCACATGGCGCCATCATGCGCGGTCCATTTGGTGTGGCAAAGTGGGGACCCGGATTGCCCTGTGCCCGCGGCGGTGGCGGCCCATGCAACGGCGGCGGCGGAAACATGCTTATGTGCATGCACCAGCAATGGTAATCGGTCTGCGTGCCCATATTGACCAGCATTGGTCGTGGCTGTGGGCGTGGCGGTAACTAAACCAGGGCTACAAACGAGAGTCAGAGCATGAGCATACTCACATTAATGCGTGCCAGATCCTGAGGTGTCAGGCTGTGCGGATGACAGGGCGGCAGCAGGCCGCCGTTGCCCATCCAGGGACGGGCCACGCTCTGCGGTAAGGTAGAGTAGAGTAGAGAAGAGTATTGAGTGGAGAGGCTGGCAGTACTTACCGAGGGCAGAAAGAGACTCGGATGCAGAGGTGTCACCTCCAGAATTGCGGTCGTGTAGGCGGCCATCTGGACCTGGGTCATGTTGGCGAAACGGCCGCGCAGCAAGGGCAGCATCAGGTTGTGGGCGCGTATCATCAGGTTCCTCAATGTGGCAATATACTCCGAGCTGGACAGGCTGCACTCGCTCACCTGACGAGCAAAGTCCTCAAAGGATGGAAAGTCCGCCGTTTGCGTATCGCAGCTGCCGCTGGTGGTGTTCCTCGGCTTTGGCATAGCTGTCGCTCCAGATTCCACCTTTCTATCCTCGAAATTGGCAGCCATATCCGATTTAGCTTCCGACAATGTGTTGGGCAGATTCAGCACCGACAGCGATGCATACGAGTAGGGCACCCAGTCAACGCTCGGATCAATACTGCGCGGCTGCACAGGCTGCACAGGCTGCACAGGCTGCACCGGCTGCTGTGAGGGCGTCTGTTCCTGCTGCGGAGTAAATGCAGCCGCCTGCCACCATTCGCGTGGTGCTGCCGATGCTTGTGGCTGTGCCTGCGGCTGCTGCTCCATTTCCATGAATGCAGAAGCCGAACCCTGGTGCTGCTGTTCCTTATCCTGGCAAAGATTGTGAAATGACGGTGCTGCCTGCACTGACAAATGCGCCATAGCTGGGCCTGTCTTCAGCTCCAGCCCTGGCCACCATTCGGTCGACTGCGCTACCGGCTGCGGCTGCGGCTGCGGAGGCGACGGCGGCTGTGGTGCACCAGAGGCGGGCAGCTGCTTCATATCGTTCCAGTATGTACAGGTCGAGGGTACGGGGTGAACGTGTAGCTTGGGCTCACTCTCCGGACACCAGTCCGGTACGGCAGCCTCGCCCAGCTCATTTGCCGGCCACCATTCACGCAGCGAGGGTAAAGCACTTGCCTGTGCCGCTGGTGGTGGCAACTTTGGTGCACTACCAGCACCACTTCCAGCCGCAACTTGTTCTTCCACATCGATTGGCTGCACGTGCTTCTGCTCCACTTCTGGCCACCAGTCGGTGCGGGACGGTACCGTCGTCGGTACAGCCGCTGGCTGTGGCGCAGCTCCAGCTAGATGCGGCTCGTTCCTGGGCCACCATATTGGTGGCTGCGGTACACTCTGTCCAAGCATCTGTCCCTGCAACTGTGCTCCGATGGCTGATGGCGCGACCTGGTGCTCCGCTTCTCTTAAATATTCCCGAGCCTGCGTTTGTGGCAATACTGCAAGTTTCTGTTGCTCCATGTCCTGCCAGGGATTGATAGCTGGTTGCACCGTCGCTGCTGCCCCGGCTGGTCCGGTTGCTGTTGCTGCTGGCGGCGGGGGAGGTGGTGGCGGTGGCTGTGTCTGCGGCGGCTGTGCGGCAAATGCGGCGATCAGCTGTTCAATGTCCCGCCAATAGTCATATGAGGTTGGCTGCGGCGGTGCCTGTGTGTGTGCTGCAAGAGCCGAGCCGTTCTGCTCCATATCCCGCCAAATGTCGCGGGTCAGAGGCATCACCTGTGGCTGCGACTTGTGCTGGTGCTGATGCTGGAGCTGCTGGTGGTGCTGCTGGTGCTGGTGGTGATGCTGGTGGCGCTGATGTGGTTGCTGCTGCTGCTGCTGTGGTGCAACTGCAGCGACTAGTTGCTCTACACCTCGCCAATATTCAGAGGCTGGCGGCAGAGCGTGTGCTTCCCGCCAATAGTCACCAGGTAGCGGTAGCGCGGACTGCTTGTGGGCCTGTGGTGCGACAGCGGCAGTCTGTTGTTCCATGTCGCGCCAAAAATCGACGTGCAGCGGTGCTGGCTGTGGCTGGGCCTGCAGTGGCAGGCCAGCCTCCACATCCCGCCAATACTCGCGACCCGGCAGCAGCGGCTGCACGTGCTGTGCCTGCGATCCGGCTGGCGCACCCCGATCGATGTCACGCCAAAAGTCGCGGAGTTGTGCTTGTGTTTCGGGTTGTGGCTGTGCTTGTGTTTCTGCTTGAGATTGGGCCGCTTGCATTGCAGCTGGGACCTGCTGATCCATATCGGGCACAAACTGATGGGTTGGCAATATCGGCTGCACCTGCTCCCGCTGGCCCATAAAGACCGCCTGCTGTTCCATATCCCGCCAATAATCGTGGTTTGGTGGCGCCTGCTGCACTTGGATCAGCATTTGGGGCTGCATCTGGACTGGCATCTGGACCGGCATTTGGACGGGCATCTGAACGGGCATCTGGACCGGCATTTGGCCCGGCAAATGAGGCATTTGTATATGCATCTGCGGTGGCATTAGCCTCTGCACTGGCACTGGCACGCTTTGCGGATCCACCTCCGACCAGAAATCCCGATTCGGCTGCTCGTGCCAATTGCCGCGTGGCCGCTGGCTGGGAGGATAAGCGCGAGGATTTGGAGCCACCCGAATGGTTAGATCCACTGTGCAGCCGTTCATACCGGCGCCATCGCCGAAGTCAGCTGGATACATATGCGCCTGCATCTGGTGCGGCCCATTGTAGTTGAAGAGCTCCGTCATGGGCGGTCTGTCGTAGTAGTCCTCAAGGTGTGGATCCATCGGACGTGGCGGCGGCGGGGGCAGCGACTGCGGATTGATCTGTGCTGCCTGCTCCAGGGCCAGCAAATGGGACGCATACGAGCCCATGGGATGAAAGACGGGCGCATAAGGCGACATCTGGCCGCTCAAGCTGCTCATCAACAGCGGTAGATCCCGTGTGGCCTCCGAGGAAGGGCCCGTGCTATTGGAAACTTGGACATTACTTGCCGCCGGTAGCTCACTTACTATTTGACGAGTAAACTTGTCAAATCAAATTTCCAAAATAGAATCATTAATTGCTTACTAAAGGTGGGAATGAGTCCACTGGAGATGAGACTAGCCCAGTTTGGGGACGAAGAGCCAATAGACGGATCAGTCATGGTGTTTCACACTGCTGCTGAATGGAATACTTTTAATGAATGTATATTGGCTTTGCTCAATTTATGTCTTGCTATTCGTCCGTCCGTTTGCCTGTCTGCCAAATAAAGTGTAAGACATTTTTCAACAAGCTGAAAACCTCCTCTAAATATACATAGGTTTTGCAGCTACGCTCAGTGAGCTGCTCGCCCGATGACCTCCTCTGGCCCACGCCCACCAAAGCCCCCAAGAAGGGGTATTTCGTCAAGTCACAGTTTGACTGTCACTAGGCTTTCAGTTTGAGAGCCACCAACCGAATAAACAAGTGGACTCCCTTCGATTTAAGCTGTTATGCGAACAGAGTATGGTGCAGTCGGTGACTGCCACGTTATTTGTTCGTTTTCTCTATGGATAATACTAACATGTTAGTGTGGAACTTTAGAATCCGATCTGTAAGCTTATTCGCAATTGTGGCCTGTCCTATTCGTTGAACTCCTGATTAGGCGCTTCACAAAGAGCTGTGGATTAATCATAAATAGTTTATTTAATTTTAACACATTTTTAAATCACGCTGATTTATCTATAATAGTTGCACATCTTTTGCGTATAATGTCTCGACTATTTTTCATAATTTGTGTAAATATATTTTTTTTAAATTATTCCAAGGTAGCTAAAGGGTTGCTAGTGCCGAGAGTTTGGCAGGCTGGCCTGCTTGTAAATATCTTGGCTTTGTGTTATGTGAGGCGTGTATGCTCCAGTTTAAAAGGCTTTCAAGTGCAGCAAACGTGCCTGGCATATTGAGGGACAACAAGCTGGGCCCAACTCCGAACCGGAGACTGCTTGGCAAGACGAACAATAATCTCTGCCCCACACTCCCCGCCCCGGCCGGCAACATTTTTGCAATTATTTCAAATATTTTTCAACACGGCTTTGAAATGCGACGTGCCGACGAACACTATGCAACGAGGACCAAAGGAAAAACCCTTTTTTTTTACGTTGTTTTTCTTTGTCTTGCGCCAAAATATTTTTCCACATTTTATGCTGCGCATATTTTTTGCCGCAGCCTTGGCGCGAAATTAGCGGCAAGTGGCTGAGGAAAGCGTGGAAAAAGGCGGCGGAGATAAACTTTAAATAAAACATGGCACACAACACGCTCGCTGCTAGGGTTGGGGTATTGGGGCTGGAGCTGGAGCTGGAGCTGGGGCTGGGACTGTGACTGAGACGGGGGGAAGCTTGTTTGCGTATGGGGGGATGAGACGATGCGGGTGCCGGGGCAAACGTCGAACGCTGGCGCAGACCGCAATTCAAATAAAATCCTTTAGGGCTTTTGACTTTTAACTCATCCGTTTAACGAGCGCTCATGTTCGTGAGACGGCGAATGGCAGGCTAGCCGCATGGAGGATGGCAGGATAAAAAGATTGCCCTGGCAAGGACAATACCCTTGACACCTACACACACACACACACACAGACAGACAGACACACGCAAGTGAGCCCAGCACGTCGTCAGCGCAATTGCAAAACAATGCGCGAAACAGGCAAAGCAATTTTTATATGCTGCATATGCGCATAACGAATACTCTGGATTTCAAAGCCACAGAACCTTATTAGAATGGGTGCAATGTCTTTATATATTTATATTTGGTAGATCTATAAATTGAAGTAGTTCTTAAATCTAAAACTGGGACTTGAAAACCAGACCAGAGAGCAGCTTTTGGAAAATCCGTCCCGCTACAAGCAGATCTGACCAGACTTTTGGTACTAAAGAGTTGAGAAGCTGGGGAATATTGTGGTGCATTTGCTTAATGGAGAGGCACAATACTAGTAGATCTAGGTGGTTACAAATCATACTACCTGCAGTCATAAGATTCGAGCCCGAATCATAGATCAGGTAACGAGGCTTTTAAGTCAATAGTAATATATAAAATGGGGTATATAAAATATATGCTCTGGGTAGTCTAAACATAAAACTGGCGAGGGATCCAGCCACAAAATACAAATAACTATGGCCTCCAACATTGGGCTTATCCAATTGGATTTTGGCTAGTTCGAATCTTGCATATGAAAATATGGACAACATGCTATATTTGCAGTAGAACAGGCAATTGTTAATAAAATATTAAATTGCTTAACATTTTTTAAGAATATATATATCAAGGCTGGTTCGAGCTACTAAATATGGTATATATATTTTATTGCTTTTCGTTTCTATGCAAATTTATTTATATTTATATTATTATATAGGACATACACGAAAATCTGTAACTAGATCTGTACACACCCTGTATTTGTATTCTTAAATGAATTATTTTATATTCCCTGTCTAGGTTTAGCATACACCTCTTCTAAAGGCTTAATGGCCTGCAGCACCACGCCTCCCCTTAGGATATTTGTGTTGAGTATTTGGCAAGTCGACTTTCAACACTTTGGCACAACAAACACACCCGCTCACACACACATACACACACATTTTTATGAGCCTTTTTGGACTGGAATATCTCTATAACACTGTTGTGATTGCTTTTGCGCTGCCATTGCAGGCCCCAACACCCTTTCCAACCCGCCCGCTGCCCGCTGCCCGCTGCCTCGTTCGAGCCACGAGTCGAATCGATTGATGACTGCGTCCCAAGCAATTGGCAATTGGCAGTTGGCAGTTGGCAGCTTGGCAATCGGCTTGCTGCTGTTGTTGGCATTTTAGAATTTGAACAATTGCCACTCGATGCGAATAATAAACGTGGCCGAGTCCTGCCAAAGGATTCGCCTGACTGCGCCTGGCAAAAGGCGTCGATTGAGGCGCGTCTGCTTAAATATGCAATGAGCCAATGCATACACAATGCCCAAATCTCTGGCTGTGTGTTCCGGGTCTCCGATTGCGACATTTATTAACTGGCGAACACACACTTGTCGCGCATACGCCCCGTGGCCACGCCCGCCCTCTACGCAAAAAGTATGCTTCGTTTAATAAATTGAGCGTTTTATGCAATTTATGCGGCTGATTTGACATTAATGTGCCCCAAACAGACTCCCCTCCACCACAGCATGTGTGTATGTGTGTGTGTGTGTGTGTGTGCTGTGCTGCGTATGTGTTTATTTACATGTTGCCTTCCTGCGTCTTAACGGGGGGAACGCGTCTTTAGCTGCCGCTTCCGCTTCCGCTCGCTGCTTTTTATTTATGACAACATCTGTCGCAACAACTTGTGTGTGCGTGTGTGCGGGTGTGTGCGGGTGTGTGGGTGTGTCTGCGAGTGTGTTGAGGCGTTAACATCTATGCCACACACACATCATTAATCATTTTAACGGCTCAACTCCTTTATGTGCGCCCGTGTCTTAGTTGTTAGCCACCTTGCGCTTCATTTATTCTCAAACTTTCGCTTTTTATGCCCCAAAACTTGGGCCATAAAAAAAGGCAGACAAACACACACATATAGATTCTAAGTAGGATTGCCAATGCCTCTCTCTTTGTATGTATGTATTTTTTTATGCTGTGCCCAGTTCGCTGCACTCACCTGACAAGTTATCCAATTGTTGCCGCCGTTCGCCTGCGTTCTTGCAATGTTGTTGATTTTTTTTTGTTATTTTTATTAATTTTATTGATAATTTTTTGTTGTTGTTTTTCTTTGTACACTGGTAAATTGTAAATAGAAATAATTTTTAATCCATGCTGCGTGACTATTTGAAGTTCGAACAGGGACTACTGAGATCTAAAGAGAAAACAATTGACGTAAAAGCATTGTGAGTACTAATTCATGGCACAATTTACCCAGAAAATATTCCGAATCACTCAAAAACTTTCCGAATGTCCTAATTACAGCTAGAGCTTTGTCAATCTGCGAAAACAGAATATTCAATTGAACCAAGGTAAGTTAAGTAAATGGCATTATGCAAAGATACAATTCTGTGCGTTATATATAGTATATATTTAACAAACTATACCAATTTACGATAAATTAATTTCCTTACACAAGCAGTTGGCAATGCCGCGTCGATAAATTATAGAGGAGTCTCGGAAATATGACCAGGTGGCAACACTGTTTTACTTGCTGACAAAACAGCCAATAGGAAGTATAAAATATTTATTATCAAATCAATTTTAACATAGGCAAAACAACTACTTTATCATTTCATCGCACAATTTTTAATCTGAACCAAGATCCGAAAAGCTTGCCAATATTTGCCCCTAAAATATTAATAAGTAGCACTCAAATTAAACAGAGATTTCTAGCTAGTTATATGTATGCAGTAATATATATTTTTGGATATCTTCTCGCCCATATCCCCACTGGCCCCGTTCGGAAAAACAACGATAGCAATTCCCAGATGCCAATCAATGTCAAAGAGTTGGAAAACTCTAGACGACAATAATTCACGTATGCGAGCTAATAAATTAGTGGAAAATTCTGTTGGGGGCCATCAAAAGGATAACATGGATAACTTTTGTGCTCAACTTAATGTCACACACACAGACACACACACACACCTAGACAAATAATCAGCTGTAAATATTTTATGGATGAAATAAGCGACAAAAACTTTGTCTCGCATTGTAGGGGTAGCTGCAAATATTTAAGGCATCTCTACCCCCAACCCCCTCTCACTAACTCTATCTCCCTCTCTCTCTCTCTCTCTCTCTCTCTCTCTCTCTCTCTCTCTATCTAAAGCTTGCTCGTTGTTATGGTGCCGCACTGATGCGGCATGCCACAGAAATTTAGCAAAATCTTTGCTCTGGCTTAGTTTTATATATGGCATAAGCTTTGCTGGTCATTTGCGGGGTCACGGGTCATCCCGCCAACAGGACGAAGCTGATGATTAAGTTGCTGACGACAATGAGGCCGACGATGCGGCTTACGATAGGAGGCAAACAAATAGAAATGAATGTCAATTGATAATCAAAATAAATGCCCAACGGGGCTCAATGAAACTGAAACCGAGAGCTTGACAGATACACAGATCCGAGCCTGGAGGCAGGGCTGAGGGTGGAATATAAATACATATTGGTGGAAGATAAGAGGAATACCTTTATAAGAAAGGTGAGGCTAGCCAGGCCGGACAAATGTCTCAAATTGAATAAAATATAAACATATTTTTATTTTTTATATTATATCCTTGTATATAGAGTACTATTTTAATATGGCCACAAAATGCGTAGCTCACAGAAGAAGACGTCATCGTCAGGACAAGGGTCTCAAATCAAATATATATCATATTATAAGTCAAATAAAATAAAAGACTGAATTCGCTTTTCTATTTCTATTTATACCCTATACTAGATTATAATTTTGTCACGAAATTCGTAACGAATAGAAGACATCTTCGACAAGACTGCTATTTATACTCTAGGTGTAATAATATAGTTGTAAAGAGGAAGAGTCGAAGACGACTCCGTAGAGTATAAATCCATGAAATCTCAAGTCCATTCCTTAAAGCTATTGTCTTTCTATTGCAGGCAGCACATATATCAGAGTCGGTCCGATTGGAACACTATATTAAAAATTGAGCAGCTAAAAGGATTTTGAAAAATATATAAACCAAATTATAGAATTAAGGCTTCAAGCAATGTCTAAGTTCATGGATGGGTAAGCACAAGTTCACAAAAACCCACGATTCTAAATTAACGATTAGTAAAGTCCTTAAATTATCGTTGAAGTTATTTTTTCAAGTATCGTCAATTAATCTTCTGGTTTACAGGGTAGTTCTATATTTAGCTCATGGATGCTAGTCTAGAGTCTGCCCGGCGTGGTCTGCCACTCGAGAAATGCTGGAATGCGGAACTATGATTACATGCCGGGCGAGCATGGTTGGGAGCGGGTTAGGTCTGGAGGTGAAGGTCCGTGCCAGGGGGCGAGTCCTGGGCCATAAATTCATTTTGGTGTCGGCTGCACATGCAAATGTCTAAATGCCTAAATGCCTAATGAGTGAAGCTGGCAGCAAAAACAGGACACGAATGAGTCCTTAAAGATTAATTAATCTTTGTGGCACATGCGGCCGACGCTGACGCTGACGTCGACGTCGACGTCAACGCACAGCCAGACGCCGCTGGTGCCACAAACAACAGTTGCCTGGGGCACGCGTAGCATTGTGTTTAGCTGTGTTAAGGGGATTGCTGACCATTGTCCTGCGTCCGCTCGGTTTCGGTTTTTAAGCTAATGACACAAAACGCCAAAAAGGATGCGAGTCCAGGGGGTTAATTTGCAGGCTGGGTCGGGCTCGGTCGCCTGGTCCGGCTTATCTTTTGCTTTTGAAGAAATAATTAATGACCTCGTTTTTGCCACTGTGGCCGGACTCGACCGAGCCAGAGCATCAGGCACAGGAGCAGGAGCAGGCACAGGAGCTGGCACAGGAGCTGGAGCTGGCGCTGAAGCAGCAGCTGGAGAGTATGAAACGGCAGCAGAAACAGGGAGCTGCACACACTGCGTGCTGGCCATTAAAAATCGTTTATTTCGATTTGATTTAATCCAAAATAGATTGCCCCTGTCGGGCGATGCGGCCAATTTATGCACTCAATTTACGCGCGCGCACACAGGACGCACCGGACACTGGACCCTGGACAAAGTCGATGGCATTCTCCTGAATGCAGGACGTCGCCGCTGCTGCTGCAGCTTGCTCTTGGAGTTGGAGATGGGAGCTGGCTCTGGGCCTGGGCCTGGGCTGCGTATTTATAAATTTCATTGGTTAATCCTTATTCTCGCATTAAGGGAGCGCACGCAGAGGAAACGGCGAGGCACAGCTATGCAAATGTATGCATTGTCCTGTTGCGCCAGCACTCGATTTCCCTTACCCCGCGCTCCAGCCCCTCCTCATCCACACCCACTCGACGACTACTCTGGCAATTAAACTAATCGCACGCGAGGCTTAAAATGCGATTTGCGGCGTCGATTGGCAATTGCGGCTCGCATTCACCATTGAAACATTTCAAATGTTTGCCTGGGTTAGCGAGACGGGTAGAGTGAGGGGGAGAGGCGGAGAGGTTGCCCTTTTGCGCTTTGCCGCGAAATTTATTTAAGCCCAACACGTGGAAATATTCCATTTCCCCATTTGCTCGCAGCGCCGGCAAACGCCGCAAATGACATTTAAACTGTTTGCATTTGGCGCCGCTGACTGTTTAGCGGTTTTTGTGGCTGTCCAAAATCGCCCGTCCGTCCCCTTCCTAACTTTGCCCCGCATCGCACCCCCCCCCCCCCCTCCGCACTCCCCTACACAAGCCCAACGTACGCCTAATCCAAATGTTTAGTTACGCTTGGGCCTGAAATGTGTTCGGACGACAACAACAGGATTCACTCCTGTTTCGGCTCCCCACTCAACGCCTCTCGCCAATATCCTGGCAAATAGTCCGCCAAATTTATTGTTAGTCTCTGATCCACGGTTTAAGGAATATATCTATGGTGGCAACTCTAGATTACGTTCCCATGCACTACGAACCTAAATATACTCGAGGTACAGTTAAGAATGTTGCACTAGGGTGTTACCGACTGACTTATACTAGCCCAATAACTTAAAATAGAATCAATCTTTAGAGGAGTTCATCATTGCTCGACATGCCAAATTTAATCTCTCTTTCTCTAACACTGTGGACGATATGTATACGACTATAAACCATGTTTTAAGTCCAAGATAAAACCAATATGGTCCTTCCACAAGAATATTTAATATTATTATTAAATTATTTCACCCAACAAAGTGGATTTTACGACAAATGTGAAAATACTTCCACTTCGACAAGGATCATTGAGGCCCGTATTCCACCAATTTTCCACAGTTGCGCGCGAAATTCACTAAAACGCCGTCTCAAGTCTGGCAACTCTGGCAGAAGCTTTTCAGCCCGAAAATTGCCTGGTACGATCTGAACTACCCTGACAGTTCGACTTCTTTGATTAGCAGTCTTTGCAGCTTTTGCTTAACTTGACTTCTAATAAATTACAAAAGATGCTAATTTTGTTGTTTTTCCTTTTGTTAAACTTCCACAACGAGTGTGGGTTAGAAAGCCACAAAAGTGAAACAATTTGAAAGGCTCCTTTGAAGAGTTGTCACAGGCCACAGCAGGAATACAATTTTCATGTGATTAATGATGTCAACGCGACGCTGGCCACGCAAGTGGCTGCTGGCTCCCGGCTCCCGGCTCCCGGCTCATGGCCAATTCCCTGGTCGCTCTTTAGCAGAAGTCAAAAGGGAGATGTGCTCGGCTGGCAAGTCTGGGTGCCTCAAAACGAATCCGTCAAGAATGCGTCAATTTAATTGCGCACGTGACGCGCGCGGTTCATGAATGATAAAGAGAACAAGACAGCAAGGACATGGTGAGGGTGAGGGTGAGGGCGAGTGTCGGGCTGGGAGAGATTTGAACTGGACCCAAGTAAGGGAATTGTTGCGGCTATGCGCCACGTGACGCTGACATCCACATTGACAGCAAGAGTTCAGGATGTGGGCGCAGTGGATTAGCCCTGGCCTCAAGGAGCCCCTCAAAGCAATGCAGCGGCTAATAACGGGCCAAAATGCTTCCAACATGCTGCGCTCAACATTTGATTTTTCGCAAATTTCATTAAGCAAGATAAATGGTTGGCTATTAACAAAAACAGCATAAGCTTAATAGTAGCAACCACAGCGGTTCCAAGCGCAGCTTTCCTGCTTTGTATTTATGCAAAAATTCGTTATGGATGCCAAACAGCGGAAGCGGAAATCGCACGCATTTTTGTTCTTTCACACACACTACCATCGATGCGGCACGTTAACTATGTCAGCCAGGTCTGTTATCAGCAGCAACCTATTTCGGCATCAACAGCTTAATCGAGGCAGCATAAAAGCTAGATAAATTTCCCAAAA